CTTCTCCCCTTTCCTGTCTGTACTTTTCCTCCACAGACCTGGTTAAGTCCAAAGTGCAGGTGAGTGCTGTGTTTGTTTACCCCCTCTGGAGCATTCAGGAGCACTGAAGGAAATCACCCAGAGGACAGACTGTGGCCACTCTCAAATGATGATGGTCACTGCACTTTTGTGTTTGCAAGTCAGAAATCTCAGCAGGCTCAGCTAAGCAGCGGACACTGATGATGTCTCCTCTCACTGTGAAAATGGCCTCCGCCTGCCCTACACCCAGCTGTGCTTGTATCTGAATGTGCTGCCCTCCTATTCTCTCATTCTGGGAGAGAATGTTCACTTTCTCTGGAAGGTTCCTCCCTTGTTAGAGCCTCTGCCCACGGGAGAGATCTGGCCTTAGGCCCTCTCTGACTTCACTGCTTACCTCAGTCTAGCATGCCCCCTGTCTGCATACAGTTCTCTCTGCTGGGAACCTCCCTCTTGCCATACTGACCCCTGCTTACCTTTTACAACCCGCTTATAAGTTACCTTCTCAAGAAGCTTTTCCTGACCCTTACTTTTGAATTGGGTGGCCTCATTGCTCTCCACCACCAGCCACCACTCTTTTACTTGGCCACATGGCACTGTCCACAATTTAGAATGATTTGCTTATTTGTCATATGTTTGTCATCCTCATTAATCCCATAAGCCCCACAAAGGCAGGAACTGTCCTCCCGGTTTGTCCTGTAGCTCCTTTAACAAACAAAGTGCAGGGCCTGGGTTGGTGTTCAATAAATATTTGGAGAGCAATTAAGAAGATGAAGAGAATGGTGAGAAGACAGGAGAGAGGTAAAGGAAGAAAAAGGGGGAAGATGGAAGATCAGGTGTATAGGTGGCAGTGAGAGAGAGGATGGAGGTGAAGACTGTCAAAGGCTGAGGCCAGGGAATGGGGGGAGGCAGGACCAGGGCCTTTGAGCTGGGCCTTCTTGGGCTTCCCAAGGAGCTCTGTCTGACCTTACAAGCTGGTGGGCAGGGCTAGACTTTATCTTGGGGTGCAGTCCTAACCTCAGATGGTGACAGAGCAGGAGCCAGCAGGGGTGTTGCAAACCGTCCCGATTGCAGCAGGCCAGCAGTCTCACTGGGACTGGAGGGTGGGGCCTGAGCTTATCTCCCGAGTACAGTCCTAACCTCAGATGGTGACAAAGCGGGAGCAAGCAGGCGTTTTGCAAACCGTCCCGATTGCAGCAGGACTGGCTGGCCCAGCCAGGGCCACACTATTTGGTGTGGGGGCAACAGAGGTTTGGACAGTGTGGGACTTCAGGGTGAAGCTTGGCTTGTGGAACGTGGGGGTGAACCCAGTCTGCAAGGCTTCCCTTTATCTACTGCTGGTACCTGAAGGGGAGGCCATAGCTCTGTAGGTGGGCCCCTTTCGTTAAGAAGCCTTGCCCTCAAGTCTCCCTATGTGCTCTGAAGCTAGAATTGATGGCCAGTTATGGCCATTTTCCACTGGAAATACCCCCATCTTACCCGTGGAGTAGCTTTAGGTAATTTCTCATGTGCCATGGAGGTTTTTCTGAGGCCAGGAAGCAGCTGACAGAGGCCAGCCAGGAGTTCTGTCCAGGTTGAACCATTAGCACTTTAGAGCAGTCCAAGCTGAGTTCTGAGAGAAGTCTACTGTCTGGGCACCAGGGAGGTGACAGGAAGTGACTGACCTGTCGAAGAGGAGGCACACATGCGTTCAGCCTAGTCAATACACCCTCTCCATCCATGTCCCCTCACTGACTGGGGGCAGGGTGGGGGGGTGGAGGTGAAGAGGCCCCTTTCCACCTCCACAACCCCAACCGGGATCTTGCAACACCGGGATGGGGGCCCTGGGGGCCCAGCCATGTGGCAATCTGTGGGGGTGGCGTGGGAGGTGTGCACCGAGGGGGGGAAGCGGCTTTCACAAGCAGCCACCACCATGCGCTGACCTTGGCAGGCTCACCTTGGGTGGCTTCCTCCCTCTGCGTGGTAAGACCAGACAGCCTGCTTTCTCCTCAGCTGCTTCCCTGGGGTCTGAGTTTCCATCACTCAGCTCAGGACTGTCTTCACCCCAGTTTTACTTATGATGGAAAACTGGGCCTGAGCTGTGAATTCTAAAGCAGTAAGCATGTGTGTGCTGTTTGGACCTTGGTTTGCTGGGTTTCCAGGCCTATGCTTACCCTCCCCCCAACCTGGCAGAGGTGGTGGTGCAGGGGGTGACTCCTGCCTGCTGCTTCTTTCCCTCGCAGTTAAGAGGATGATGTGGGGTATGGAACACCTGCTCCCTGCTCTCCACCCCACCCCAGTTGCTCAGGGACAGTCCTTGTCTCAGAAGGACTGAAGAGACTCATTTATAGCTCTGGAGGGAGGGAGGGAGGTGTTCTTGCTACCTCCTCCCTCCTCCTCATCTAGCCTGACTGGACTGCCTGAGTCCTTAGGGCCTTTCCATTTGCTCTCCCTTGTGCTCACCCTTCCCCCAATTTGGCACATCTGCTTCCTCCTTGAACATTTTTAAAGGTCACCTCCTCAGAAAGTCCTTCCTTGATTACCCAGCTAAAATAACCTCCCTCCCTGCTTGTTTATTCAGTCTCCCTAGTGGGCATAGTCAAACTGGGTAATCAATGAATTTAACATGGAGGTGCTTTCTAGAGGTGGACGGACTGCATTAAGGGAAAGCAATAGGCAGGAGTCCCATGAGTGGGAGCTGTGAATACTTGTGTGTGAGAGTGGGGGGGGGGACATCTACCTTTGTCTCCCGCTGCCCTCCCATCTTTTGGAATACAGCAGGACACCCACTGGGCAGTAAGGCACCTGGGGGTTCAGAGACAGGGAAGACCCTCAGCACATTTTTTCGTGACCTTTTTTCCCACCCCTTCAAGCTAAGAGCTGGGCTGTCCTGTTCATTGTGGTGTTCTCGGCACGGCACCGTGCAAGAGCCTGGCAAGGAGATGTTAAACAAATGCTTGTTGAATAAATTCTTTGGCCCCACCAGTTAAAGTCAAGTTAAAAGCCTCATTCATAATGGGTGATTTCTGGCTGCCTGGGATATGATCTGCCATAGACCTGTTCTTCTCACCATGGGCTGCAACACTTCTGTACCCTCAGTGCCAGCTGGGAAGCCTCCCCCAGGACCCCATGGGAAGGAGAGAAGAAGGGAAGGATGGGGACTGGGAGGGCATACAGTCCAGCGCTGTGGGAAAGCAGCTAGGGTTGGATGCTGAAGCAACCTAGGTCCCATTGCCTGGAACCTTGAAAATAAGTCAGGGGCCAGTGGAGAGGAGGAAATCCGGGGGTTGAGTCACTCACGGTGTTCTGTACAAACCTCCCTTATGCAACCCATTCCCCTGGGCTAAAAGGAAGGTTCAGGATTCTCCTAGGTTTCCACAGAGGGAGCAATTCCCCCTCTTGACTCAGGTGCCTGAGGTTGGATCTGTCCATTCACCAGACTTGGGGCAGCGAGACCCAGAGCACAGAAGTGGGGAGATGGTGACTGAGAGACTCAGGCAAAGGCAGGAGAGGGACTGAGTTCAGATGGGGGAGCTCTGACTTGGGAAGGAAATGGGAGGATTGACGAGGGACAGAGAGAGCGAGGGAGAGCACACACGAGTCTATCAGCTGGGAGGATCCCGACCCTGGGTCTCTCCCTTTCAGAAAGGTATCCCTAACTTGGTCTTTCTCTGAAGCATCTAGGGAACTAGCCCTTATGTTCTTTGCCTCAGTCCCAGAACTCAGGCAGTGCCTAATGATTTACTGCATTGGGTTATCAGTCAACCTAGACCAAAACACAGAGTAAAGGGACTGAGAGAGGAACAGAAGGTCTTACTCCCTCTGCCCTCACCTCCTTTATCTATCAAATGTGGCTCACTCTGTCTGCCTGTGTGAGGGCAAAGTCCACCAGGTGGTCTCTTGAAGTCTCTTCCAGCATGTCCTGAGATTTGTGGTTTTAGGGTGTTCCTTTTAGTCCTACTCTAACCCATAGGGTAGAACCAGGTAAGTCTCTTCCCCTCTCTGAAGCCTGTTTCCTTGCCTGCAAAATGATAAGCTCAGAGGAGATCTCTGAGGTCCTTTGAGTTCAAGAAAATTGAAATAAGCACACATATTCCTGTTTACCATGTCCTGGCTGTTTTCCATAAACATAATTCTACTACGAGGCCACTGTACTCCCATTTTGCAGATAAGGAAACTGATGCACAAAGAGAAGTAAGTTGCTTAAGACCACACGGCTAGTAAACCGCAGATAGGATCCGCTCCAGCTCTTAAGCAGTGGTCTGTCATGCTCTTGGGCTAGACTTCTAAGCAAAGAAAAACACCTCCAAACTGGGGCTTCACTGGCATCAGTGAATTGTCACCCTCATGGTCAGTTTTTTCAAGTACACACTGGTTTTGAGGTCATTTGCAAGTGATTTGTTCCCTAAGCACTCAACTTCTCAATCTTTGAGGACCCTGAGCCCCAGGAGATGAAGGATAAAGACAGGAGCAGGAAGATGGATGCTTATGGTAGTAGTGGGATTTTCAATCTGGTAGCTGAGACAGCGGAATTGAAGAGAAAGCATCAAGGCTGGATCAAATGCTAAGAGGCCATAGATACGTCAAGCCATCTGGAATTTTCTCTTGGTCACCTGGGGCCAGAACTCCCAGAATTTTACCTCCAGGTGAGAGAGCAAGGCAGGTTCAGCAAGCCTGGCATACTGGACTGATGGGGCTGGATTTCCCCTGCAAGCCACAGAGCTCTGTTAGGATGGTATCCAGAAGACCCAATGGGGTAGAGGCAGGGAGGTGCCTTCAGTGTCCAGAAGGACAGAGTGGGACTTGGCTGGAGGTGGGAGGCGAGCATAGTGCCTGTGTTAGTGTTAGGGCCGTGAGCAGTGTAGCTAGAGAATATTTCCATATAGTAGGCATGAAACTAGAGAGAGTTATGCTGTTTCAGCCACATGCCCCTGGAGTACCCCCATGCCACACATGCAAATGAGTGCCCCCCACCTCCTCCACACACACACTGTATAGCCCCAGCACCAAGCCATAGTGCAATTTTATTCAGCCACAGAATTAATATGCTGGGTTCTGCCCCCCTCCCGCTTCCCCCCATTGTGCCACCCGTTGCCATTTGTCCATGGTCTATACCTCAGGCTCCGCCTGTGAGGGGACCTAGGGCCCCCACCGGGAGGGGGTCCTCAGGATTGGACCAGACAGGGAGTCAGTGCCCACAATCCACCAGCCGGGCTCAGCTGCAGCCCCCCACGCCCTTGATGAGGCTGGCGGCCTCGGGGATCTGGCGGAAGAGGTTGCGAAGGGTGTCCAGCTCCTGGGTGAGTTGCTCCACGCGGTTGCGGAGGCGCTCGTTCTCAGCCATGTACTCCAGCACCTTCTGCTGCGTCTCTAGAATGCGCCTCTTGGCCTTGTCTCGGCTCTTACGCACCGCGATGTTGTTCCGCTCCCGCCGCAGCCGGTACTCCAGGCTGTCTTTGTTCACGGCCTTCTTGCCCTTGTGCGAGGGGCCAGCTGGGGAGGGTGCCTTGAGAAGGGGGCTGCAGGGGGCTGCCGCGGAGGCCAGAGGGGCCTAGAAAGGAAGGCAAGGGGTTGGATGAGGCTAGTGGGAAGCCGGGTGGAGGCAAGGCAGGAATCCAGCCGCCACACTGGGCATCAGAGGGATAAAGATACAGAGCCAGCTCCTGGCCCCCACGCCAGAACAGCCACTGCAGGGCCAGACACTCAGGGACTCCTGCTCTGACCCCAGCTTCCTTGGGTGCTCCCACACCCTCTATGGACACTTTCCTCCTAAGGAGCTCGATGCTCTAGGTCTGTGTCAGTGGTAATCACCTCTTCTAGGAGCAGGTGGAAGGGAAAGGAGTAAAGGGCTGGTGGGCGGCAGAGAAGCTAGTGGGAGGCCTTTCAGGGCAGGTCAGTTGGTTACAGGAGCTGCCGACAAGTTGGGTTCCAGCCCCAAGGTGGGGATCAGCCTGGGAGTAAATCACAGAGAAGCACAGGGGTCGCGGTTGGGTGGTGAGCACAGAAGGCTCAGACCTGCCTCAGCTGCACAGAGCAAGCCAAACACAGCCCGGAGCATCAGTGGGCAGCTCACAGCCCCCCAGCTGCATGGGTCTCTCCCAGCCCTGGGTGGCACGGAGGGGATGCCGCTGCTCTTACCTTGAGGACGCGCAGGGGCTGGTTGGGTGTCGCCAGGGCTGGGGGCAGATGCATGGCCGTCTGTCCACAGTGTGCCACCTGGTACTGAAGAGGGTTGTAGGTGCCACGGCTGGCACCCCGGCTGCCCTCTGGCCCTCGGGGCTCTTCCTTTACAGCCACGGCCCTGGGGTCGTAGCTCCCTGGGCTGCTGTAGATGCCAGGTCCCAGTGTCTTCCTGTCGGGGCCGAAGGTATGTGGGGGGTAGGCAAAGGGCCGAGGGTCAGGTGGCAGGTAGTGGGGGAAGGCAGGGGCTCCGGGGCCCTTGAGGCCTCGGGTCTCAGGTGCCGGCTTCACTGCGAAGAGGTCTGAGAGGAGCTGCTCCTCCCCGGACTCGATGTAGGCAGAGAGGTCAATGGAGGCCTCATGCTCACACATGTCCCCCAGCTCCCCAGGCCCTGGGCGGCCCCCTGAGAACTCCAGAGGCTGCTGGCCAGCCCGGGGCTCACACTCATAGTAGGTCCCGTGGGACATGGCTGGCCCGCCCCCTCGGCTCCCCGCCCCCGCTGCCCTGCTCTTGGGGCACCCTTCTGGATGCTCCCCTGCCCTCGCTACCTCCCCCAGCCCTAGATCTGCCCCAGATCTGCCCTCTCCGCTGTCTGCTGTCACACACTCCCGTGTGGCTCTCCTCCCTCCTCTGCTGTTTCCTTTTCCTTCCTCTGTAGTCAATGCCTCTTTTCTCTTCCCTTTTTTCCCCTCTCTCCTGGGGTGACTCAGGGAGGGGCAGGGTGCACCCCGAGAGAGGGATGCAGGCTTTAGAGAAATGGGGCCCCCAGGCTAGTTAGCAGGAGGAGGGCGCTGGGGGCAGCTTTGGCTGTGGTCCAAGCCAAAGTTCCAAGGTGCCTGGGAGGTGATGCTTCTGGGAATGTCTGCCCCTCCTGCTGAGTCCAGGGGATTCCAGAGGCCTCTGCCTCCAGTTGCCAGAGTTCTGTGCAGAATGAAGTGCCAGATCAGAATGAAGGGAGAAAAGCCTTTCCCAGGGCCGACCCCCAGGCTTGTCTGAGCTCCTCCCCTGACACACCTCCCTCTGGGTCCCCCCACAGTGCTGAGCTCCACCTACTCCCAAGGGTAGCCCCACCTCCCAGGGCGTTCTCCAGGGTGCAGGTCAGAGGGCTGTTGAGTAGTCTAGGAATTAGTGATAGATTCAGGGAACAGGCCATACATAGGGGCCTGTGTCGTGGCCCTACCATGCTCATTTGCTAAGTTTTTGCACGAGGTCTGTGCAATGACCCAAAATCCTCATGCATTTCCAGCCCTGGCTAGCTTTAGCAGCCTGGCACAGTCCCCAGCTGCCTGGCTTGGCTGGTCAGGACTTGGGCGCTGTGCCCCAGGCTCAGGCAGGCCGTTTGGCCCAGGAGCTGACAGCCACCCTCCCCTGGTGGCTTCAGTGCTCTCCTCCAGGCCCTGAGCTGCCAGAGCATTGGGTTGGCACTCAGCCCCATTTCCGGTGCCTAGCACCGGGCTCAGACACTGACTGCAGCTTGGTTTGCTGTCTTTCCTTCTACATGGCCGTTCTCTGACCTCGATATGTGTCTTTTGGGCCCACTTCCTCTTGTAAGGCTTGAGAACCTTTCTCTTTTGTCATCATCTCTTCCTGGAGCTCTGTTTCAGGGTGTCAGAGAAGCCCAGGCTCTTCTCTGCATTTTTGTTCTCATGAGCAGGTGTATGTGTGTGTTAGTGGGAGGAGTCCTCCCTTCCCTTTCCTTTTTCCTCTGGGAACTCCCCCCTCCCTTCTGGCAGAGGCCCAGGCTGTGGCCTTGCTTTTTTTTTTTTTTTTTTT